AAAAAACTACAACATGCTGTTTGTTGTTTATTGAAAAAGAAATTACTGGAAATCATGGTAAAGATTTAAGCTTTCTCCTTTTTTTATTGTGTGTATTTTTGTTTCTCAGCTCTAAAATGGTTGAAATTTTCTCAAAGTTTATGGACTTGGGCTCTTTCAATCCAATGGCAAAACATTTCTTTTTTTAAATAAGATAAAACAAATGCTGTTTTACTGCTTTTATATGAATACTATGACAATCATGATAAGTCTGCAACATACCAGTTGGGTTTCTCCTTTCCCTAAGATTATAAGAAGTCATATTTCTTGAGTTTGATGTCTTATTAAAAGGAACAAACCTCATTGTGCCTCCACTCCTAACATGTGTTTCTAAGTCTATTTACATGTGGTTCTGTTTCCTATAATTATTAGTGCATTTTTGGCAGTGGTTAAAATGTGTGTTCATGAGAATAGGAGTTGTGGTCTCTCAGTTTTTACCTCTTTGTGTCCACTGGGAACGAGAAGTTTACAAATAAAGGGTCCCAATCACTTTTCAGATGCTATATCCTTTATAGCACCCTTTGGAAGGGTGGGAACTTAGCCAACCGAAAGACAGCTCTTTGAGTGCTCTTGGCCTTGAGACATGGCCTTATGAAAACAGACCTAAAGAGTAAATATCGGTACTTCAGATCTGCTTCAGATCTTCTTCAGATTTACTTCACACCAAACATTTATGAAAAAGCCAAAGTAAACTTCCCTTTTTTTATTTGAATCTTTTCTTTTCCCTCTCCTGCATGTGTTTATATGTGTTCAGTCCTTTTGTTAATCTGGATAAATGTCTTTCTGTTTTCTTGATTTGGATATTACTAAGAGCACAGTACATGAAGAGTTGTAACTTTTTGACGGTAGCTCAACATGAATACTTTTTATTATGACTACTTCTTGTTGCTAGCCTTGTCTTTGTTTTCTGATCTATTTGGAATTTAAACTCAATGTACTAAACCTGTTTATCGCTTCAGTGATTTGTGCTTCGACTGAGACGTCATAAAGTTTCAGGAAACTGAGATATTTTAGAATTAATACTTTCTTTTGACACTGTGGTGGCACCAGACATCTTTTATAGGGTGGTATGTTGGAGCATTAGCTTATCTGTTGATAATAAGAAGCAGTTGAATAAGTACACTGGCAAGGGGAGATCTGCCATAGTATGCCCCTTCGACACAGTTTAGATAGTAAAGGCATTGTAACAAAAATAACATCACTGTTGAACACCTGCTGGATAGAGCTGTTAGAGGCTAAAGAGCTCCTTAAGTGAAATATTTATTTACTCAAGGTGCAAAAAGGAGAGTTGTTTAGATACCTGTCTTCCATGCTGTTAGTTACACTGTTTATATCTGCTCGGTATTGTTTAAAATCGTTGCCTTTATTTAAACAGTTCTGGCCAGCGCCTCTGCAGTTTTTTTGCTGCCTCTTGAGTGCCTTCTATACATCCATATTGCTATTTGCAGTTTTTTAAATATTATAAATATTATAAGGCTGCATTTTTTCTTTTAATCTGGGTATTTCATTTTTTTAATTTTAATAAATAAACTAGTGAAGATTCTGATTCATCCAGTTCATATTCCAAAAAAAAAAAACAATTCACTGGACTTTGTTTCCAAGTTTGAAGACGTTTCGCTTCCCATCCAGGAAGGTTTTCCAATTCCAAATGTCAGAAATATTGTTAAGTTCGAGGCTTTATAGAGTGAACCAAAAACAAAGCCTTGTTTTGGCTTAGAAAACATTCAAATTGAACTGGACTAATGTGTCCTCCCCTTTGGTATGGAGGTCGTTTGGCTTTTTGTTAGCCTACAATACCCCATACCTGTCTATGTCTATGACAGGGGGGTCATTCAAGGGAATTGGTGGCCTGACTGAACAGGCAAGGTCTTTTGTTCCCCTGTAAGGGGGAGGGAAAGGGGGTCAGTTGCTGCATTGAATATTTTTGAAATTAAGTCCACCCTCTGCGTTTAAGATTTGTTTTTCTTTCGTAGTATAGACGGCTTCCTTCACACCCCTCTCAAACCACTTATTTTCTTTGTCCAAAAATGTGAACATTCTGCTCCTCAAAAGAATGTCCTTTGTCCATAGGGTGTAGATGTACCGTGTGTGTTTTCCCGAGGAGGTCGCTCTTCTGTGTTGGGCCATGTGTCTGTGCAGAGATTGTTTGGTTTCTTCAATATAAAGAAGATCAGAGCATTCCACTTCATTGTATTAAACTGCATCCATCCAAAAATGAAATGATGCTTTACTCATCATTAAAGATTAAGTATTTATCTTGCAGATCAAAAAAATGTATGTTACAATATATTTCTAAATTTTTTACATTTTGATTTGATAAAAAAAAGTGACTCATGCGTACATAATTATCCTCTGTCCGATTATCGTGGTCATTAATCTTTGTTTCTCTCTTGCTGAGGTTCCTGCCTTAGCCACTCTAGCTGATGTAACTGCAGATTCAACGTTTTAGATAAACATTTTTGAATTATCCCACTGCCTGTCTTGCCTTAACCTCTTAACATCCACCTCATTTTGGGTAATCCTCACCTATTTTGCATACCCAAATGGAAAAGCAAATAACTTAAGAACTGTAAGCCCAAATTACATGTGCAATACATTGTTTGAAAGCTAACACGCTCTAGTTTCCTAATATATAAATATATAAAATTGAGTGACCAGAACACAGAGCAACCTGCATCAGTACAAGCATGACTTAAAGTTGTTTTGTTTTTTTTTATTCTCAGAAATGATAGGTGTTTTTTGAATAAAGACATTGTTGAGAAAATGCAGGTTTTATTGTATTATATGTCGACCAGAAATGCAGAAAATTTCAGACCTCTAGCTATAACAGTTCCAGAGCTGTGGGGTATGGAACTTTTGCTGTCAACTTGGAGCTGCGTGCAATGGAGCCACCTGCTGGTAAACATTATTAACACCACTTAAAGTCCACCGGGTCGCTAGGGACCCGGTGGGTTTAAAGTGGTTACATACTGGGTGCTCTGTTCTGAGCCACGACATACTATGTAGTTTCTCCAAGGAATTGAGTAGGCTACAGTGTAATACTCTTTTGCCAAACAACTTATTGTTTTGCTTGTTATGTACAAAATAGATATCTGTTGATTGGCAAGCAATCTCTGCTGTGCCTGATATATTTTGTTGATGCTCCTTCTACAGTATGTTATATGCCCGAACAATCTAAACAGTGTTTGTTCGTTTGACAAGCCAATTTTTCTTTAAAAGCAAGGGCGCAATTCTTCTCACCTAAGTTACTTATGGTCTAACTAGTGGTCAGTCGAAAGAAAAAAGCCATTTTAACAATTTTCTTACCATTAGATGCAAAAAGGTGAATAAGGCGAGACTGCTTTGGTTTAGTAGGTGATGTCAGCTGTGTTTTATGCTCAAGATTTTATAGGTGAAGTCAAGCCTTCTTTCACCTGAGTCATGCAGGAACATTGTTCGGCCTTGTGTACTGGATATGTAGTTATCATGTTCTGTTTTTACTTTGACTGGTCCCTTCAGTCTTAACTCCATACCTGAAGTTTGAAGATTTAACAAGATTTGGGACCTAATGTTTATGGAGAATGTATAAGGGCCCACTCTGAGTCATATACTCATCTGGTCTTGGGCCAAACTAGTGACAGATGTAGCAGGGGGAAAGACAAGAAAAAGAAAACACTTTAGTTTCTCTCTGTTTTAAATACTTCAGTATGGAGCTGTAATAGCTCCAATATGGTTTAGTAGAACTTCTAGAATTGCCTTTAGAAAAGTTTTTGTCATTTTACTGATGTTAATACGCCATATCATTTGCATAAAATACTACTTTTTAATAGTCAGACCAAACAAAATGAGAAAGAGAATCACCTTCATTCACCCACCTTTGCACGAAAATAAAGTTTTCCACTTTGCTGTCAGACAAGACATTTTAATATTATAAAGTCAAAAAAAATTCTAATTACATCTTTTTATTTAAATCAGTGAGTTGTTATACTTTTGCATCCAACCTGTGGACACTTCAAATTTAGGGCCGTTTTTGTTCAAAAGCCACAAAACCTCTAAATGTCTAAAAGAATAAATGAACCCCAAATAGACTTTTTTATTGCTTTTCCAAGCAGATAAGTCGTTTTAGTGGTAGTTTTGTCATCTCTCTTCAAAATTGTGAGAGCTACAGTATATACTGTATGGGTTATAATACATTATGTCATTTGAATGCAGTGACAGATTATTTATGTTGCACATAGAAAATTGACTGTTTTCCAAAAAAAAAAAGCTTTAATCAAAACATAGGTGTTCATTACAGTCACAGATTAAAGGATGGCTTGACCTAATCGTGTGACAGAAATGGGTGACAATCACCAAACTACAAAGAGTGAAAATATTGTTTTGTGCCTTCATGCAAAAAAGTGTGAGGATATGCAGGAGTGTTTAAGCATGAAGTGAAAAACTTGCTACTGTACCACTTTAAAGTACTGGTTTAACTTTAACATGTTAATTATTACTGTTATTAATGTTATTAAAACTTTGTTCACACAGTTCATCTGACTGGAGCTCTCAATAACAAAAAACATGTATAAGTGCAATCAACTACAAATTCTGATTATTTCATTTAAAATGAAGTAAAGGGTTAATAAATACTAAGTTAATAAATAAGCTGATAAAAAATGCATTAAAGATCAGGAAAAGGTTGATAGTTTGTTTTTTTTTCTTCATAAGGTAAGCCCTCACAGTAAGCCTTACTAAGCCTCCGTTGTTGCATTTCATAATGACCTAATAGTTTTTACATACAGGAGTTTCTTAAGGTTCATTATTTTGCATGCCAGTTGGCTCATTGCCAGCTGGTTAACTTTCCAATGTCTTTCTCTGTTTCTCCCAGGGGGCTCCCTTTTCACATGAAAAAGGGAGCCAGTGAAGAGCTATGCATGGTGATGGGCTGAGGGGAGGAGGAGTGGTCTCTACCATGCTAGGTTACAATAAAAGGCATTTGTGTGGACCTTAGAGGAGCCCAAATTTCCAGTAGCACTGCAGGCAGCTAGTGCACAAAAAGAAAAAGAGATAGATAAATATTTAAAATAGTTTTAGGGAAACTAGAATTTTTAAAATATATTTTTAATAACTTTTTTGACTTTCAAATATTAGGGGAACAAAGACAGAAAATGATAAGTCAGCTGTATATCACAATAATTTCCCTGACCCTGGCTGGCAATGCATACTGTCAAACAAGTTCTTCCTCTCCTTTAACTTCTTCCTCTCTTCCAACAGCAAGTACCCCCCCTCTTGTATCAGGTGAGTTTATTATGATATATTTTTTTCAATGCAATGACTATTTTAAATTGGATCAATTTCATTCAGATATATGTTTGTGAAATAATGTCTAGAATGATGAATCATGTAATGAAGCTGTCTTGTATGTTCCCAGAGTATAAGCCTGTGTAACAACATAGCCATTGTAGAAATGTAAAACAGATTAGTCCCTTGGGCAAGCAACACACCCAGACTTTTTTTGCATTGAATCCCTGACCTGTAAACAGACCATCATAGTCCCCAGTGGGTGATAGATAAATTAGATTGTCATTCAACTTACTGGCCTCTGCTGAATTAATATTTCACTGCTACTAGCAGATGCTTTACCTTAAATGGGTCACAATTGCCTAAAAGTGATACTGGGCTATACAAAATTGGCGTTTTTAGTTACTGAAATGCTATAGAGCAAAGCACCTTTTTATGCATCTTAATTTCCCCACATTTTTACTCTCTATAGTAAAGCAATCAATTTAGTACAATTTACGCAACATATGGCTGCTCTGCTTTGGTTCTTTGATATGTCAGATTTTTTAGTTTTGGAGACAACTTGCAAAGAAAATTTTGCAGCTGGGAAGCATTCTATTAATTCTAATCTTTCAATTAAGATATTAAGAAAAACAATTTTAAATTTCTATGGTTTTCTGACTATTTCCATGAATGCCATAGAAATTATATTGGTAAAAACATATTTAGTTTATGGGTAGTTTGTAAGGGATAAAATTGCAATATTTACAGGTGCTGGTCATAAAATTAGAATATCATGAAAAAGTAGATTGATTTCAGTAATTCCATTTAAAAAGTGAAACTTGTATATTATATTCATACATTACATACAAACTCATATATTTCAGATGTTTATTTTGTTTAATTTTGATGATTACAAATGACAACAAATGAAAATCTCAAATTCATCATATCAGAAAATTAGAATATTGTGAAAAGGTTCAAAATTGATGGCCCCTGGTGCCACACTCTAATCAGCTAATTAACTCAAACCACCTGCAAAAGCCTTTAAATGGTCTTTCAGTCTAGTTCTATAGGCTACACAATCATGGGGAAGACTGCTGACTTGACAGTTGTCCAAAAGACGACCATCGACACCTTGCACAAGGAGGGCAAGACACAAAAGGTCATCGCTAAAGAGGCTGGCAGTTCACAGAGCTCAGTGTCCAAGCACATTAATAGAGAGGCGAAGGGAAGGAAAAGATGTGGTCGAAAAAAGTGTACAAGCAAGAGAGATAACCGCACCCTGGAGAGGATTGTGAAACAAAACCCATTCAAAAATGTGGGGGAGATTCACAAAGAGTGGACTGCAGCTGGAGTGAGTGCTTCAAGAACCACCACACACAGACGTATGAAAGACATGGGTTTCTGCTGTCGCATTCCTTGTGTCAAGCCACTCTTGAACCACAGACAGCGTCAGAAGCGTCTAAAGAGAAACAGGACTGGACTGCTGGTGAGTGGTCCAAAGTCATGTTCTCTGATGAAAGTAAATTTTGCATTTCCTTTGGAAATCAAGGTCCCAGAGTCTGGAGGAAAAGAAGAGAGGCACTTCATCCACGTTGCTTGAAGTCCAGTGTAAAGTTTCCACAGTCAGTGATGGTTTGGGGTGCCATGTCATCTGCTGGTGTTGGTCCATTGTGTTTTCTGAGGTCCAGGGTCAACGCAGCCACATACCAGGAAGTTTTAGAGCACTTCATGCTTCCTGCAGCTGACCAACTTTTTGGAGATACAGATTTCATTTTCCAACAGGACTTGGCACCTGCACACAGTGCCAAAGCTACCAGTACCTGGTTGAAGGACCATGGTATCCCTGTTCTTAATTGGCCAGCAAACTCTCCTGACCTTAACCCCATAGAGAATCTATGGGGTATTGTGAAGAAGAAGATGCAATACACCAGACCCAACAATTCAGAAGTGCTAAAAGCCACTATTAGAGCAACCTGGGCTATCATAACACCTGAGCAGTGCCACAGACTGATCGACTCCAGGCCACGCCGCATTGCTGCAGTAATACAGGCCAAAGGAGGCCCAACTAAATACTGAGTGCTGTACATGCTCATACTTTTCATGTTCATACTTTTCAGTTGGCCAACATTTCTATAAATCCTTTGTTTTTATTGGTCTTCAGTAATATTCTAATTTTCTGATATGATGAATTTGAGATTTTCATTTGTTGTCATTTGTAATCATCAAAATTAAACAAAATAAACATCTGAAATATATGAGTTTGTATGTAATGTATGAATATAATATACAAGTTTCACTTTTTAAACGGAATTACTGAAATCAATCTACTTTTTCATGATATTCTAATTTTATGACCAGCACCTGTATAGTGAAATTGGAGAGAATAAATGAACCCTGAGCCAAATCTATGTGCAACATAGAAGTGCAACATAAATAATCTGTCACTGCAAAAACAGGGAAAGACAGACTTTGTTCTGTTAAATAGGCTGGGTGACATTTAACACTTTTTTAGCCGCCCAGTAAGCTGACATAGTAGATGTGAACTCACTTCTAAGTTGTCTTTTGGCAAGCAGCAGAAGAGTAGCCACTCTTTTTTATTCACTCATTGAAATTTCTCTCACAGGCCAGCTCATCTATATCCCTATGTGCACCCAAATGTTATTAAATCACCTCTTTCTGCATTATGTTAAAGAATTTATTCATTTGATGCCAGGTCAGTGAAAATTATGTGGAAACATATGCTTCATAGTAAGATCCCCCTGTATTTTTATTGGGGAGTTTGCCTTCTTCCTCACACCCTCTGACTCACTGTAGCATTGGGAACTTTTGGAAAGGAGCCATGGTAACAGGCAGTCTGGCAAGAGTAGATTGAAGATTAACGACCCACAGCCAAATGTACAGAGCCCCGCATTGAATGGCAGTCATATGACTACGTCTTTCCTTGTGAAGTAATAGTCTTTTAAATGTATTGCTTACTGTGGCTATTTGTTACAGAACTGGGACCCAGTTTCTTGGGTTTGGTGAGAGAAAGAGTCTTTGCTGGAAGTAAGCCATGGGTGGGTTAAAATTGTATTTAGGTGTAGAATTTAGATATTGATGGAACCAGATTCGATGTTTTGCATCTACATTCAAATGATTGCAGTGATTTTCAAAAACTGTCTCCCACCATTGACTGCAGATGTGAGCTGATGATTGCATCCTTGTCCTCAGATGATCACATACATCCTGCACACACAGACACTTTGTTTGTGCTTGCTTTGCAGGAAAGAGCACAGGAAGCCCTTTTTTTTTTAAATGAGTGTGGAGTAGTTGGCATGCTGTGTTTGTCCCAGCTGTGCTTGTTAATCCTTTTTCTACACGGACACAAATGGGCTGGCAGCAGAAGACAGCAAATCTCTGAGTTGTTGTAAGCCATTTCACAAGTTAGTTATATGACAAAAGGGTGTGGCACACTCCAAAAAATTGCATATTGCAAGAGATGTGACCCGAAAACTTGGATGCTTTCTGAAAAGAGTGATTTGGGCCAGATTTGGTCATTTTTCAAAATGTAAATGCAGCTTGAAAATATAGCAAAAATATATGACTTGCAACTTTGCAGTGCCATTTATACAGAGTTTAGTGTTGCAAAGAGACATATGGTTCCAATTGTCTACTACTGCAACCATTTACTGAGTAAAAGAGAATTGTGTTCAGGGGAAAAAAGGAAGTAGGTCTTGGCTGCTTTATTGCTATCCACACATACTCACTTAGTTTTTGCTGTGATAAATAATATGCTTATATGCAAAAGTAAACAAATTAGAAAAATAATTGACTTTAAGGAGCCAAATCTAAGTTCTCTTAGAGAGAGAATGGCTCCCCTTCTCCTGCAAGAAGAATGAAAGTACACCCCAGGCTGTTGCTTTACGAGTAAAATGTGTCCGGTGTGATCAGAGCAACATTCTCTGCAGGGGTGACTTCAGAAAATGTAGAGTCTAAAATCACAGTTATCCTCCCAATTTTTCTGTATCTGCCACAACTGCATTAGAGGCATTAGCTCTTGCCCTCATCTTTCTGCTTAAAAAAAGCAAAAGATAAAAGCACATACTAATAAGTACTGACATGCATCAAGTTTTTGACAGTAAATATAATTTTGATTAAGATTACTGATATGAAGATGACTTATATGACTGATAAGTCTACAGATTAGGGCATGGAAAAAATTGGAAAGAGTAGTGAGTTAGCTTTAAACTGACTCATTGAAACGTATTCAACAATGAACCTATTGAAAATCTTAAAGGAACATTCTTAAATTTGAAAGCAACCGAACTTTCGCACAATATTTTCCAAAGACATTTCACCTATCCAGGCGCCAGAGAGCACAGACAACACAATTCACATGGACTCCTGGATGGGTCTTCAGAAAAAAACAAAATAAAGTGTAAGTTGCCTTACAGGCATCTTAATTCGAATCAATTCAGTTTAATTATATAGCGTCAATTCACAGCGGATGTCACCTCCAGGAACTGTCCAGAGATAATGCTGTCAGATTGGTTAGGAAAACCAGTTGACTGCATCCAGTCATTAATTTGCAAGACATGCACCTCCTGGATGAGCTTGTGCAAATGATTTTCGCTTGCATTTTGTTGTTGACTCTTTAGCAATCCCTCACATTGAGCATGCACATAGCGACAGTGAAGAAGAAAAACTCCCTTTTAGCAGGAAGAGACCAGGCTTTGGGTCAGAGGCCATCTTCAGAGGCTGAATCAGATTCAAGGAAACGGAAGTAGATGTACAAAAGGTAACTGTTAAGTAGCTGCCCTGCCCCCGTCCGCCGGGGTTCCCGGAGCTGACGGCTCGGTTCAAATGCCCGGTGTGGTTTGACTACGTGCTGCACTGTAGTCGACCAAAATCCCGGACAATTTTGAAATTCCCCCGGGCATTTTTTTAGCTATGAAAAGTAGGACATGTCTGGAAAAAGAAAGACGTCTGGTCACCCTAGCATATCAACAATTTCTATGTTTCAGTCAGTGAGT